GTTTTGTTGACAAAAATATGCAAGTAAATAATTCCATCAGTTTTGAAAGTACACAGACATTTGTTTATTTCTATATATGTCTCTCATGATATCTGTTTAAAATATTTAATTCATTTGTTTATGTCATGTAATTTGTAGGACCAGAATTTCTGGCATTTCCTCCTCCATATACTTGCTATACAGCACCTCTAATTAATGGCTGCATCCAGTTCAGCATACATGTCACAGTATGAATTTTGATCATGTTTTCTAGTATACAGTTGATTACTGTTCTTTGACCTTGACTTTTAGATCTGTGCAAGTTGATGGCTTTCTTTTCTAGCCTCCTGAGAGTTTATTCTGGTACTGCGTATCAGGAGAATGCATGTTGGAAAAATGAGAAAATAGTGAGAGTGGTTGAAAATTTCTAATTGTTACATCTATAGTTTCCCTGCTTCATTTTTCCTCCCAAAATGCTTTGCAGCAAGGTTCTTTGTCAAGAGGCAAGTCAGTAAGGAGCTATGCGTATTCATTTAGTCACCCATGTACACATACCCTCACACTGTGGATTAGACTGAAAGGAGAGAGGAAAAGACAGGAAAAACAATTGTATCCTAGTAGTTTTAAAATAGGCTGTTAAAGATCCTTGGTCATAGCAAAATAAAATATTTTTATAATAAATGCATTCCAATTGCAATTGCAGAGCCTATGTCAGCACTAACTCCCAAGGGCTGGCTCAAAAATACGTAGCATCCAAACGAAAATTTGAATACTTTGTGAAAAATGTAGTAGCTATGTAATCAAGTTATGAACAGATATAAATTGTGGTTGTTTGTAAACTAGTGTTAGCTAGTTTTCCACAATGCTAAGGACCAGTATCTAAAAGTGAAACGAATGGCCTGTGGCTAGATCTAAAGTGCCACTTACTTGGAAGTTTCTGTTGTAGAAGTGAAAAACAACAGGAGAGTCAAGACTAAACAGTGTTTTTATTGGGCTCCTAGAGAATAATAGTGCTTTTGTATAATACTTGAAATGGAGCCTACAGCCATCCCAAACAAAATAGTCTCTTTTAAGATCTTGGAAATAATGACATCATAGGCAGATTGAAGCAGTGATCCATTCATTAATAGTGTCCTTTGTAGAAAGCTCTCTCAGAAGAGGACCTGACTTAGTAAATTGGTATTCTTTACAATCGTAACATAATAAGATTCCCTCTTTCTTCATTTATGGAAGAGTACAAGACAGCTCTCACTTGGGAAAAATACATTAACAGCAAGACTTCCTTGTGAATGCCTCCCCTTCCCACTGTTTGCAAATTGAAGCACTTACTTTGAAGGTGGGTTAACCATATCAAGATGATAATTTTTGTTTGTACTTTATAAAACTTGACAAAGAGTTGAAGTAGTATCAAGATAATTCAAAGAAAATTAAAATCTGTGAAGTTTGCACAAATGAAGAGTATTTAGATCATGCTTTATATTCCCAGTGTGGAACTGGATGTCCATTTTTCAGTCTCATGTTCATTCATCTCCATAAAGGGTTATTCCACTCCTTCTGATGAACCCCCATGAGGCTAATGAATCTAAAACCACTACAGTTTGTTGAGGAATAGAAAGTTGTCCACAGAAACTCAGTTGTCTGCAGAGTGCCTGGGACATCACACTGTGTCAATGTTTTTGAAATTTGAGCTGAAGGTTTTTAAGACAGCATAGAAGAGTTTTGCTTGAGTTCTGTATCACAAGTAGTCCTTAATACTCAACCCCCCCAAAAAAAGACCTGGCCAGATAGCATCAGGGTCATCAGGTAGCCCAAAAAGAAACAGTGCATGCTTCCTTGTTTACATAGTGTAATTAGGAATGTGTAAATAGGTGTGGAAGCCACACCTATTTCTTAAGAACAAAGGAGCACAGTATTTTAAATTACGTAGTTGCCCTAGAACCCTTGTTGTCCTAGACTCTTGCCTTGTTATGCAAGATCAGATTTGTTCTAAAGAGGACATGCTTGTCTCTGGCTTCTGTCATATCAAGTTAAGTAATATGTCATCAGAAAATGTGTGCCATCTGGAAAATTGTAGCTCTTTATCTATGTGGGACACAACTTTCCAGAAATTTCTCTTGGTATTGCTATTTAAATACTCAGGTCCTGCCCAGTAACTTTCATATTTAGCTTTTTTTTAAATCAAGCTAGATGTTGCAAATCTGAGATTTTTGTAATGATAACTTCACATTTAGACATTAGTATGGAGCTCAGAATAGTCTCAAATCAAATTCTTCCCAGTGGCTATAAGGAAACTGTGAGGTGGGCCAGTAAAATATAATGCCACTGGTGAAGTCAATCTTTTCTGGAGAAGAGTAAATTTAGAAGGACCAAAGGTCTAAATGCAAAAGAGAATGTAGTTCATTAGCCCTGTTTTCACACGTGTGTTACAATAATTACTAGTTCCATTAGCTTGTGTGCATCTATTTCACCTTGACATCATAATTAGATTTTTTTCATTGTACCTCATGCTATAGTTTCACTTATACAGGACATATGAGGCTTATTAGGTTGTTTGTGGTGATGACAGGACATTTATTACCAGGCGCTTTCACCATAATGACTACTGAAAATATACAAAATTGGTCTTAATTCATTAAGATAATGCAAGGCTTGGCAAAGCAAAATGAAACACATCTGTGCAAATGATAATCAGACCAATAACTTGGAACTGACAGGCATCCAGCAGGAAAAAAAGATATTATTCAATACCTATTCCTTTCCTGTTGTTTGATCATTTCTTACATTCACATAATAAATTTGAGTTATTTTCCACTCATTAATCCCTTCTTTCTCCTTCCTCTCCAGCTCCAGATGAAATGCTTCTTCTCAACCAGTCTGCCTAGTTTCATGTTTTCTTTTGGCCTGTAGCTCACTGGTTTTAATTAAAGTCTCTTTCTGGGGTGTGAGGGGCCAGTTATTTACAAGAGCAAGCACAACTTAGAAGTGTTTATACCACTTTTGAAAATTCTAGTCCTTCCCCAAACATCCTGTAATTGGCAAAAGTCCTCAGGAAGAGAGTGGGGCTTCACGGACTGTATATACTGACTGAATTTAGAGCATAGGGAAACTAATTTAAGATTTTATTGCCATATATTACTATACAAAATAATTTCACTATGATATTTAATACGTGTACATAATGCACTTTGACCATATTTACCCCTTTCTTGTCTTCTTTCATCCCTCTTTCTGGTCCTCTTCCTTGTCCTAAATCTCTCTTCTACTTTATTATATTTTATTTATTCTGTATTTTGCATGTGAGAGAAAACATAATACTCTTCTTTTGTAGTCTGGCTAATTTCATTTATTTTGTTATTGTTCAATTGCATTCATTTTTCTAAGAACAGGATTTCATAAAACAGTAAAAATTTAAATTCTCTTCATATGATATAATTCAGAAGTCTTTGTTAAAAACAATAAAAATACTGTAACCACTAAAACTGAAAGAAATGATGGTAAATCATTTATTTGTTTTTGTTTTTTTCTTGTTTTTTGAGACAGGGTTTCTCTGTGTAACCACTCTGGCTGTCCTGGAACTCACTCTGAAGACCAGGCTGGCCTCAATCTCACAGAGATCAGCCTGCCTCTTCCTCCTGAGTGCTGGGATTAAAGGCGTGTGCCACCACAGCCCGGCTTCACTAAATTATTAACAGAAGCTTTGTCTGGCAGACTGTTTCTCCAGTCAAGGCTCTTTCTTGAGAGAAGAGAGTATTTGTAACACCTCCAATGTTTTTATCACATGAAGTTTCAGTAAAATAATACTGATTTTGTAAAGTCTGTTACACAACCTTAACTAACATTTCCAACTGGTGGATTCAGTGTTAGTCAGCATAATACAAGTTGCTTGCTTAAGCTCACTTACAGCAAATGTCCTTTTCATAGAGTGACCTGGTAAGTTGTATTTGGAGAGTTAATACATTCCTAAAATAGTGGTAAATAATACTAGATAAATTTATAGTGATTACACTGTAGCTGTGTTTGATTTTTTTTCTTATATTCAAACCATAAATTCATTCCAAAGGCACTTTTAGGACCCAACTTGTGCCTGTGAGGGTTAAATCCTATAAGTGGAGCACTAGAATTAGAATAAGAGTACACTTGGACATAAACATTTCCCTGGAGATGCCATACTTTTTCCACTTCATCCTCTGAGTTGGATGAAGCATGAATATGCTCAGATTTTGGCATAAGTACCCAAGTAAGTGAAATTCATAGTAAATAATAAATTTCTAAAACCAAGACTAGATTTTACAACCAAAGTACCTTCCTGGGACATGAAATATGACAGAGAATAAAATTATGATGTCTCCTTGTGGAGCTAGAGCTCTGCCTTTGGTTGTAATGACAGTCTGCCTGCCATTTTTAGTTGTTTGTTTGGGAAAAGATGGGCATTGTCTTCCAGGAGAGTATACACCAACTTTCCCAAAACTGTCATTTATAGAAAGTATTGTCTATTTTTAAATAATCAAAACAGCAGAAATCACTGTGCAAATCAGATACACAGAAGTAAGAAGCAGACACCAAGGCGTGCCAGTGTTAAAGCAGCTAATAAATCATGGTTGTCAATTGACAATCCATATCTAATTCTGTGTCAGTTTAAAAGACTAAAGAGTTTATGCCACTTGACCATTATGATCATCAGCATAGCATTTTTAAAGAAAAAGACTGTAAACTGTTCATTTAGAGATTGTGTATGGACAATCGAAAGTAGAATTTCACCGTGGGAAAATCATGGAAGCTTGCACATTTGTGTGTGCATATTGAAAGTCACTAATAACCACATTTACCTCAACTTTGATAAATTGTCTTGTTAGTCTTTGGAGAGGCAAATTTCTTCTCTCCAGAAGAGAAACCTCTCAAAATGCACAGGAAATCTGAGCGAATGAATGAGAGAGCAATGCTATCTATTTCCGGGATGCTCGAGTCCCCTTGTGTACCACACTTGCCTCCCTCACCTCCTCTTTGCTACTGCTTTCCTTTAGGAGCTGTGAAATCAGCTGCAACTGAAAATGTCTGACAGCTTGGAGAATGAAGAAAAACCCCCAGCTCCCCCACTGAGAATGAACAGTAACAACCGTGATTCTTCAGCACTCAACCACAGCTCCAAACCACTCCCCATGGCTCCTGAAGAGAAGAATAAGAAAGCCAGGCTTCGCTCTATCTTCCCAGGAGGAGGGGATAAAAGTAAAGTATCAGTGCCCTGGCATTCAAAAGGGGCCAGTTTATTCTTTCCTTTGCACTTTCTTTCTTGGGTAGTTGCTTCTGGAGCATTGGTTGTTCAGGGCTTGCTTGACCTTTACATCTACAACTTCAGAGGTTGCCATTTGTCAGAGGATCATGTTTGATGGACTACCTATGGGATAACGGAAAATATACATGCTGTGTTTGCTTCTCATATAAACTAGATTTATAGATTTAAATGAAGGGAAACTATAACAAGAGTATGATACTGACTGTAAAAACAACAACTTGCTTTCTGAAAATTTAGGGTAGATTTAAAACAATTCCTTCCTAACTCTAAGATGTCTATTTTTGATATTTGAGTGTATAGGTATGTTTACTTCTGTATATCTTTTCAGTAACTGAAGATTTTGAGTTAACTATACAGGAATAAGTCCAAGTTACCACAATGTTGTCTGACTGAGTCACAGGTAGGAAGGACAAGTCCTTTGTTCCCTCTATTTCTCTACCAGTTATCACCTACACGATCAGTTCCATGTGCATGAAAGTCACAATATATTATCATTTACCCATGTGACATTCATAATACAGTGTGTTGCTTAAATGGTGTATGCTACCACTTTGTGACACTTGGTTCTCTGTATGCTTTAGTAAGTAGCTTATAAGGTATTATTTGTCGTAAAGCTGAAACATGGCTCCTGCCCATGTAACTATTGAACAGGATGTCAGTAAAGTAAGCATAAGATCAATGATATTCGCCAAAAGGGAAAGAAAGTTAATGTCTTTGAAAAAGAAAAGTCATTATTAGTCTGTGTCTACTAAAAGAAGTAGTTTGGGGGTGTTTGTATACTGTTAATGAACTTACAGGTTGTATCACAAGAGCTGAAATTATTTTCAGTGACTAAGATGTTTTCCCCTCATGACCTAAAGATTGAAGAGAGGTGAAAGAATAATGAAACACCTTTCTCACAAGGGGTCTGTGACCTTACAAGGGGGGGATTCTAAAAGCATGTTTGCCAGTACTTAAGTGGACCTTGAAAACTATTTTCTGAAAGTAAAGGGTGGTGTGAGACTTGACAGTGTGTCACTAACTAGAGAACAATTCATTGGTGATAGCATTGCCGAAGATAGAATCCTTATACTACATCTGCTATATTTGCAGACAGTGGGTGAATAAAGGACAGCTCTGCACAATTCTTGGGTGCTTGGATGTGCATGCTTTTAATGTCTTTGAAAAGTCCTATTTGTCCTTTTGAAGAGCACGAGTTCAGCAAAATCGGAGAGGTTGACATTTCTGTTTCGTGTCAATAGTTCAAATGACCTCATAGTGAAACCACTGCTGTTCTCCAGAAAAGTATGCCCAAATCTTCTCAGGGGAAAAGAATCTGAGCCAAATGTTTCTTGAACTGGCATGCAAACAGAAGAGCCTGGATGACTTCGGCTCTTATTCAGAAATTGTTTGAACAGTGCTTTCTTAGAGAAATTTAAGAGTGCTTGAAAGAAAACTTTAGTTCAAAAGTCCTGTTGATTTTTAGCATCCATTTGGTGCTTAACATCCATTTGCCAATATATATGTGTTCTAGGCTAAATCTTTAATATTGGCCACATTTTGACTTTCACCTTGTTTATTAATGTATGGTCAAACCATTCAGGAAGATGTAGTAATTATATGTCATTTAACAGTTGAAAGTCTCACAAAGGTTCTGAAGATGCTAGAGTGAGGGATTCTTAAACCATTACTAATGCAGTATCCTTAATGAAAGAGGCACTAGATAGTTTGCCAAAGCCTGGTATAGTGCAACCCAGAAGATTTGACAAGAGGTAGTGAAACATCTTTCAGCACCTCCTCTTGAAGGCAGTAAAATTTTGGATCAAGAAGAGCCTATGAATGATGAACTTTTTATGTAACGAACTTTGAATATGAACTTGTTCAGACTAATATGTGATAGGATATTTTATAGGATGCTCTTCAGGGAGGTTCTTGTATGCCAGAGGTGACTATCATAAGGGACAATGAGATAATTAAGAGTTTTTGAGACTGGAAGACAAAGTTATAAGGAAGGTGAACCATTATTTTTAGAACAAGAGTAAGACATTACAAGGAAACTAATGAACATTGGAATCTTTACATATCAAAAATTACCTGTTTAAAACTTGAGATGACTTCGAAGAGTTCTATAAAGAGGTATTGTGAAGAATCACCAGAAAGTCAAACTTTTAAGCCATCAGTTACATTTACTAGAATTACCAGACATCTAACAAGCTACCTTCAGAGAAAGTTTGGATTATTTCATTGCACTTACAAAGAAGTGCTTCAAGTGTTCTTTTTTAATACTGTAATGAGAAATTAATGTGGAAAAAGTCCTAAATCACCAAGGTAGTGGTACTTAATTAAACACCCTTATTGAGTAGCTGATAAGTTGTCTGCAAAGCTGGACTAAGTTTATTAGACTCATTATCTAATTTGGTTGGGTTTCTTTCCAAAAGATATGACAAATGTCATCTTCCCAGGGGGATAAAGTCATTAAATAATGATTCTTATATTCATGCTTTTGATAGAGCTTCCAGATGGGATTTCAAGGACACTGAGAACACTTGCATCAGTGATCTGAACTAAACAGCTCACCACTGTGCATTGCTTCACTATCTCTGCTTCACTATCTCTCTCATAGTGTTCTTATCATCCCTGAAAATCATCTCAGGAATCTAAATAAACTATGTAGAACTTTCATTTTTTTATATATTAAGTGATGGAAGCAACTGTTATTCTTTTTATTTAGTCTATTATTATTATTATTGCATCCAAAATATTTATGAGATATTTGAAAAGTTCATTTGTGACCTCATTTCTAATGTCCATGTCTTTCTCTCTCCTATCACCAAAATTTCCTCAGCTAAAAAACTGACCCTTATGGGTGAGCAGAGAATATTGTTTCTTTGTCCCTGCTTCTTGATGGCCTTTTGAGTAACATCACGGTCAGTTTTGAATTAACACAAAGAGCATTGATCATGTGTCCTGGAGGCTTGGATTCATGTAGGGCTCCGACAGTGATTGTGACTTTGGGCCTGAATTTTTACCATCTGTTAAATGAGGATGGTAGGATTTGCCATGCCTTACCAAATCTTTGTGATAACCTGTCAATTGTAATTACACGAGTGCTACAAATATAAATTAACTACTGCCAGGAAATTGTGAGCTATTAGTCTGTTTGTGGCATTTAACAATTTCCTCAACTAAGAAACTAGGTTGTTGAATTTATACCTTTTTAAAGCAGCTTTTGCCATGAGTGGAGTCTATATAGAATCTATACAGAACACTTTAAAAGAAAAGAAAAATTTCTTATTCTTGTATACTGAAAAGGTAACTGAGGTAATACTTTCCCTCATAGACACTCTTTTCCCCATCATATCATAAAATTATTCATCAATGTCATCTTGTAAAATAATAATAAGCATTTAGAAAATGAATAATCATTCATAATCACAAATCCCAGAAATTATGTTAACATGTTGGTGGATTTCTTTCCAGATTCTTTGTGTGTGTGTGTGTGTGTGTGTGTGTGTGTGTGTGTATTACTTGTTTATATTTTTCTGTAGTTAATATAATACTGTATAAAGCTTTGTATGCTGCTTTTTTACTTACCATTTTCCCAAAGAATATTCACCTCCATTTAAAAGTCTTTATACATATAATTTTAATAGCATATAATATGTCAATGCATGATGATATCATGCTTAATTTAACCATTTCTCCTTTTTTTTCTTTTTGGATATCTGGGATATTCCTTAATTTTTTCCATTATAAATAACATTTGCATCACTACTTAATTGAAATTAGTTGATTTGGTTGCCATCTTGGGAAATTTGAAATTTGAAAATTTCTGTTTGTATAGAGAACATCTGTTGGTTGGTTGTTTTTTAAACAGTCTCTTTAATAGCTATATTTCATTGACCAAATGGAACAAGAGATGTGTAGAAGAAAACTATGGTGTAGATTTTATTTCAAGGTTGAGGACCTGTTGTTGCTGGAAACTGTTCTAGGAACTGGGTCTTGGTGTTAAGACGATGTAGGAGGCACAGTTTGGCACCATTGTATGATATTCTACTATAGCAAATTTGAAGGATGTAGACCAGGAAAAGGTTATAGTAGATAAGTGGTTTGGTTTTATTTTCTATGCATGGGGGTGGGGGAACAGATTATGTTTTTCTCTCGTTGACTCCTAGAAAGCTTGGAGCCAAATGTGTGGTTCATGCATAGCAGGTATAATGAGATGTCTTGGTATGAATACGAACTTTGTATCCACTGTGTTCCAGGCTTCATTTTATGCTCTTAACTCTATTTTTGTTTTCCCCCCTTTACATCCTTATCTGTTATGAGTATGTGGTTTCATCTTGCATTTTCTGTATTCTTGTGTGTCAGCTGGCATTCATTTTGGAATAAGGTAGTGAATGAGTAAATGGATGAATAAATAAATTCATTAAGGAATACATAATTATAAATAAACCTGTAAGGAGAAAGCAAATATATGCAGCAATGACATAGTGCTCCCAAAAGAAATCCATTTTAAGGAGTGAAAGCTGGAAGAAGATATCATAAAGAAGCAAGTGAGGCTGCACTTGGAGTTTACCTATTCTGTGTGCCATCTGTTTCTCATGTACTGCTGTGTTTTATGTCTTGTACTGCTCTTGAGTCTTAGGTATGTTTTGGAGGATGTGTAGTGCTGTATGATGGGTTGTGTCTTTAGAGAACACAGTTCATATGTATTTTGTTCATGTGGAAATCTGGAGAGATTTGTGACTTAGTGATCTAGGGATTGATGTGATAGCCCCTTTGCTTGGAGGGGTTGGAGGAAATGGTTGGGTAGAAATAAAATAGTGACATATAGAAAATGATAACTCATTTACTGACTGCTTACCGGGTGCCAGTCTGTGATTCAGGCCCATGCATATGCATTCCTTGTTCTAGCCCCCTTTTGCTGCCATAACACTATAACACTATAAGC